GTCATTCATCAAAAATACTAGCAAAAAAAGATAACAGCAAAACTTTAAATGAAAAATAATGAAGTATTTTGTTGTTGATAGAGACAGTGAAGCTTTTCGAATCTCTATAACATTTAATGAAATGTAAATTTACACACAAACAGCAAGAATGTGCTCTGGCTACTGGAGTTGACTCGTGAGGCAGAGAATCCCCAAAGGTGGATAATCATCAAGGTGCTATTGGACTGTGGGCATGGTGGAGAGGGGGAAGCCTGGATGTCTTTCTTGTGACATAGCTCAGGAGAGGGACTCCAGTTTGGGATTACCAATATCTTGAGGAAAATACTCTAACTAGATAATCCATCTATGAAGACACAACTGACTATAGTGTATATGCAGTGAATGAGTTTAGACAGGTTACTTTGTAAAAACTATCAAACAACCCCACCCCCCACGCACACACATTTATTTTTCTCAAAAGAATGTAAGCTCCGTGAAGGCAAGGAGATCTATCTATCTATCTATCTATCTATCTATCTATCTATCTATCTATCTATCTGCTGTATTTGTGGTGCCTAGAAGAGTGTGGGGCACAAAAATATTTAAATAGGGCCTTGTTCTGAGACAGATCTAGATATGTAAATATGTTCTCTGAATATATATAAAAATCCAGGCTATACTTTCTTTGTATTAATTGGTGCCTTAAAATCAGGTTTTGCTCCAAGACAGTTTTGTAAGAGAGAAATTTAAAAGGCCAAATCCTAGAGATACGGCTTGGAGCCGGACTAGGATTACAGAGCCCTCCATCATCTCTTGAGGAAAGCATAGTGTCATCAGCTGAATGCTGGACAGTGAGCTTCCTCCTCACCTCTGCAGGCCTCACCTGCAAAATGAGAACTGTGCTCCTGCTAGAAAGCATCACAAAGCAAATGTTTTGCTTTGAGCTTTCTTTCACAAACAGTCTACTCCTTGTGTGGGAGATAGAGCAATTACTACATTCCTATGATCTTATTTTCATTTCAAATCCTTGGGTAAGAAGTATCTCTTTAAAATCAAATTTTAATCTTATTCCTTGCACTTGCCCAACAAAAAATTAAATTAAAAATATATTCTATTAAATAACAGGAGATATAATGTAATTCTTATGTGCTTGGTCTTCTGAGCTAGATTTTTGGGTTCCACCACTTAAATTAGGCAAATCACTGAATCTCTGCATGCCTCAGTTTCCACATAAGGATACTTGTGATACCTGCCTCACAGGATGGGCAGAAGAATGAAATAATACAGTTAACATAGGGCCTGGCCACAGTCAACACTCAGCAAATGTTATTTTTATTTGTAAACTATTTCCATTTCTCCATTTGCCCTCTTCATCATCAATACATGTATATTTGTGTGTATGCACATGTATATGACACATTTATGATATGTGTATGTGATATATGTATATTTTATAATCATATATGTTATAATCTCAGGCACAGGGTTTTACAGCTGGGAGGAATTTATAGATCAAATTCAAATCTCTTGTTGTACCCATGAGTATGTACAATTATTGCGTTTGTAGTCTTTCTGTCAGACTCCGAGGGGTCGAGTGATCTTGTTAGTAACAGAAATTATTATATATTCAAACCTGAGATTTCTGGTTTGGGGCTGCCTTCTTTCTGCTTTTCTTCTATTTGACATTAAGATAATAATAACAACCATTTTCCCTCAGTATCATGATATATCCCATAGACTTTTGGTTCTCAGATACCACAATAGTGTGGCTTATTTTCCTAATTGCTGATCTCTCCATAAGTTAGGAAGTTTATTCATTTAAAGGAGTATACCTAATCTCCCCTTATCTGTGGGGATTTTCTTCCAAGACCCCCGGTGGATGCATGAAACCGCAGATAGTACCAAATTCTATATATCCTATGTTTTTTCCTATACATACATACCTTTTCACTTAAGGAAGTATATTACAGCTTCTCATTGGCGTATCCGAATTGCGAGAATCACTACTCTTGCGCTCTGGGGACCATTTTTAACTAAAATAAGGGCTACGTGAACACAAGCACTGTGATACTGTGACAGTCAATCTGTTAATTCAGATGCCACTAAGTGACTAAAGGGTGGGGAGTGTATACAGCGTGGAGACGCTGGACAAAGGGATGATTTATGTTGAGGCAGGACGAAGTAGAACTGTGCAAGATTTCATCACGCTACTCAGAATGGCATGCAATTTAAAACTTATGAATTGTTTATTTCTGGAATTTTCCACTTAATATTTTTGGACCGCAGTTGACCACAGGTAACTGAAGCCTAGAAAGCGAAACTGCAGATAAGGGGGGCTATTGTACAGTTGACCCTTGAAAAACACAGGGGTTAGGAGTGCCAGTTGAAAAATCCAAGTATAACTTTTGATACCCTAAAAACTGAAGCTGTCCCTCGGTATCCGTGGGACTCCTGCAGATACCAAAAACTAAGGCTATATAAGCCCCCTATATAAAATGGGGTAGAACAATGCATATACAGTCCTCCCTCCACATCCGCGGACTCCCAACCATGGATCACAAACAGTACAGGTATTTATTGACAAAAATCCACATATAAGTGTACCTACACAGTTCCAACTGTGACCTTTATGTTGGTCAAGGGTCAACTGTTTGTGACTTTAATGAAAACCCAGTGATCATCTAAGTAGTCAGAAGAATCTGCATCATGAAATAGGCAAACCCCTCACATTGCATGTTTTAAAATTTCAGATATTGATTTCACTAATATATAATCTAAGATTAGAGCCCTGAACAAGGGCTCACGCTCCAGTTAATGCTCCATCACTGACTCACAGTAAGATCTTGGGCAAGTCACTTGACCTTCTTATATTTCAGTGTGTCAAACTAGTCATAAAACTGAATAAAGCATGACCTCATTATAAGCACAACACACTTGAAATCTAAGATATGCTTTCATACATTAAAGAATTACCAAAAGATAACTCTAGCTGGTAAATATGAAGAATCAGAATAATGAATTTTACTATAAGTAAAATGATTCTGAAATGTAGCTTTTAGCAAGTAAAATCATGGCAAGTATTTGGGTGAAATGGGTTAAATGACAGAGGGAGAAATATTATTTTAGAGAATGCCTGGTTTTCAAAACCACAGATTGTAGGAATTTAACCAAAATAATGATAAGAAATGGGAAAATATTGGAGGCTAATGAATCCTTAATAATTAAACACTTTTCGTTTCTGGGCCATTATTTCCCTCTACTTATACAATGCATACCATGTTTTAAAATGTACTTAATTTACTACTATATGAGAAACCTGACAAAAGAATACAAATTCCTTTAGGAATGAAGCAGTTTAATGATCTGTTTGGCCATTTAGACTTGTAACTCACTGGATCATTGACTATCCTTTAAATTGATTTTGCATTAGTCCTCTTTCTTCTATTTCCCTGTTTCCAACTCTCCCATTAATGGATACACTTTACTCCCATTCAGGTTTCCCTCCATGAGCACAAAATGGTGATGAAGATGGTAATGATTGGTAGATTTATGAAGTGAATATTTTTCTGATCTGCAGAGGGAAGGTTAACTGGCTTGCTGCTGCAGGCTCTCCTTAAATTGAACAGCAGGTTCACCCTTTCTGCAGCATTCTGTCTAGAAGGGACATAAATAAGATCAGCTCCATGATTGAGGTTACCCCAAGAAGTCCTGTGGCATCTGCAATGTGCCTGAACACTTTCCATTCTTTTAAAACATCTTTCTGCAGACTTTGTCAAAGCCACAAACATAACTAAGCAAAGCCCGTTCTAGCAGAGCTTGTCAATCACATACTTTGCCACATTCTCTTAAAGAGTAAGCAAATGATAACTTGCAACTGTTGTCCATGCTCTGTAAACAAAAGATCAAACTCTGCGTTCTGCTTTGGCAAGAAAAGAAACTGCAGCACTTTGTCAAGACTTTTTTTTTCTTTTAAGTTTTGGGCTTCAAATTAATAGCTGGAATTGTCCTTTTTTTAGTTTACAAATAAACTGAAAACATTAGTAAATTTAAAGATTAAAATGCTATTTAAAAATTAATATAATCTAGATTGTAGATTAAAATATGGTCCAGCTCCATATTAGCTGTGGTCCAGAGCCAATTAGCTGTGTGTTTCAACTGTAATCTAGGGGATTCTAAGTATCTATTCTTTCCTTCTTTGTTTCTAGGGATTTATGAATAAAGATCTGATCCCACTCAGGAACAGGAAAATTAAGAGAAAAAAATCAAACCATGGGTTTTAAGATCTATAAAAGATGCACAGGTACATTAATTTCAGTAAGACTGGAGCCAGGATGAATAGTATTTTCCATAGGGAAAAGAGAACAAAACAGTAGGGGAGAAAGATTATTCAAGCTTACCAAAAAAAAAAAAAAAATTCAGAGGAAACGTAAAAACATTAAAATAAGAGTGGCAAAGCATATGAGCATGACAGATTTCTCATTTTAGCATATATAATTTGTCATATATTGCTTCAAATTTTGAGAAGAAAAATGTTCGATCAATTTCTTGCACAAGGAAAACTGCTTTGCCCTTTCCTTCCAGATCCCCCTCCTGGACATCTGAAGGTGTGAGGTCAATGCCCCCAGCTCCCCGTCGCATCCCCAAACCCCAGGACCTCCTACAGCTCCCAGAACAGTGCTCCGCTGCCCCAGTGGAGCGGTAGATGTAGAGGGTCTCACAGGTAGGGTGGGGCTGGGTGAGGGGCGGACGACTTCTGAAGCCCAGGGCTGCGCCAGATCGGGACTATGCAGGCGCTCTGTCCTCGCCCCGGCATGGGATGGGGCTTGCCTTGGCGACCCCGCACCTCTCCCCGAACACTTCGCGTCCGGGTCCCCGGCCTGGGCTAGCGGCGGCGGGCGAGCAGAGGGCGCAGAAGCCGGGCGCGCCGGGGGGTGGGGCCAAGTAGGCAAGGCCCGGCCCTCGCAGCGCCTCTCTGAGCGAGGCGGCCGCGGCGGAGGGATACGGAGCGCCGTATATATCTCACAGAGCGCAGGCTCGCACTTCGGCGTTGGTGCTGGGAGTCTCGTGGACGCGACGCCGTTACTTGCATTCGGTCGGCGGCACAGACGGCGGTGGCAGCGGCACAGCGCTCAGCGCACACCGCGCCTTAGCAGCAGCAGCAGCAGCGGAGGCATCCCGCCGTTCACAGCTCCTGCGCTGGTGCAGCCACCCTCGCTCCCTCTGCTCTTCCACCCTTCGCTCACACCATGGTAGGTCGGGAGTGGCAAACGCCGGCGTAGCAGCTGTCTGTCCATGATTTCTTTACAAATTTCTAGTTCAGTCCGGTTTTTTCTTTTTGTGCTTTTTCTTGGTGGGCTTTTTCCTCTTTTCCGGGTATTACGCAGCAGTGGCTGTTAAGAAGGATGCATTCCGGTTTTGCATCTCGGTTTCCTCGGCCAGGGATCCTCATTTAAAGATTGGTCCCCTTGGAGCGGGACTTGGCTGCCCGGGGACAGGGGTTCTGGCTGCAGCTGCACCGGGGCTTCCGCATCTACCCCCTCCCCCAACCCCGCACCACTGCATCCAGCGCGCCGCACCCGGGCTGCCCGCAGCGCTGCGCTTGGGCCGGGGCCCCGGGGGGCGGGGGAGCCGGGCGGGGCCGGGCACTAGCTCTCTCCACCCCCCCCTCCTTTCCCCAGGCTCGGAGGCGTCGGGTCGGGCGTGCCGGGGAGAATGAATGGGTCGGGGCGAGCCGGTGGCGCACATTGCTTTGGCCCGGCCGTGGGGGTCGCCATCAGCGCCCCTTTCCCCCCACCCCCCGCAGCGGACTCTTTTGGGCACCCACTCTCAGCCGCTCTCCCCTCCTCCCTCTCGGGGGGCGCGGCGCGGGCGTGGGCTGGGAAGGAAGGAGCCGGGGAAGGGTGGAGTGGGGGCAGTCTGCCCCGGGGTGGGGCCTTGCGGTGTGGCCGGGGCTCTTGTCTCCCTGTTTCGCACCCCCGCAGCCCCCTACTCAGTGCGGCAGTAAAGGCGTGCTTGAGCCTTGGTACGCCCCGAGGCCCCTTCCCGCGGGAGGCGCTGGGCTGGCGCTAATTGGGGCGGGGGGGCGGGGGAGGAGGGAGCTGGCGCGCGGCTCGGTTTCCATTAGAGACGCAAAGTTTCTGCTCTGGGAGGAGGCGGCGGCGCGGCGGGCTTGCCGCCTGGGGGAGCTGAAGCGGGTGGGAGGAGCGGGGCGGGCTCGGCCCCCGCCCGCTGCGCGGCCCCGGAGTGGGGGTGGGAGTGGGAGGCAGCCCTGGCTTGGGAGGGGCGGCGCCCCCATCCCGGCACTGGGGTCGCCTCGCCCCAGGCACCCCGCCTGCTCTCGGGGCACGCACCCCTGTTTGGCCCCTCGCTTGGCGTGTCGCTACTCCGCGCCACTTCCCAGTCCACAGGGAGATGCCCTCCACGTTTCCGCTTTCTCTGCAGCTTCTAGATCGCCAGATGCGCCTGTGCGCCTTGTTGGGTGTGTTTTCCACAGCCCCCTTCCTCCCTCGGCGGGCAGGGCTGACATCACCCACAGCGTTTTCTGGTTTGGCGGGGTGGGGAGATGGCTCCATCAGGTTCAGAGTACCTCTGCCACCAAGGCCGGCGCTATTGGGGGATATTTCTTTGTCGAGGAAGGCTGATGCTCTCGATAAACCCCTCTAACACGACAGTTTTGTAGCGAGGTGTGGGACTCTTCTCCCCGGTAAGGTGACTGCTTCTCTTGCGAGGTGTGGCAGCGCTTTCTGTTGTGCAAGACAGACGTAGCCCTGGCGTTACATAAATCATCGTGTCTCCTTTATTTGATACAAAGAAAACCAACTTGCAGTCACTGGGGTAAAAAGGAAGGAAGACTCAGCTTTAATTTGAAGGAAAAAAAAAGTTTTTTAATATAATGGAACACCATTGCTGTTTGCGAAAGTTTCCATTTAAGAGTTGGAATAAACTTAACACCGTCGGCTTCCTGTTAGGACTGATTTTGTTACTGGCTTCATTAGGCGTTCTTCATTAAAATAAAAATAACATTCGCTCTCCTTGGAATCTCTAATTCGCCTGGCTGGAGGCACAAGTTCAGTATTGCAGAGACCAAGTAATGCAAGTGAGAATTACCTTCGTGACCATTACCACCTCCAGTAAACTGTTTATTATGAGCAGCTCTTATGTCTTCTTTAAGGTGGATAGAGTAAATACCCTCCAGCAGAGTTTCTCCTCTCCAGAAAAGAGACGGTATAGCCTCATAATTGTGTAGTTTTCTGTGTACTTAGTATTTTCAGTTTTAACAGCTCAGTTGTAGGTGGTTCCATTTTTTTCCCCCTGGCTTCTGAATCACGATAATTTGACCAAGGCACAAGCCATTGTAAATGGTAGGCTTTTAACAAATAGCTGCCTAATTTAAATGATTGAAAGCATTTATTACATGGAAATGAAGTCGGTGGGGGTAACCCATTGCAGTATATTTATTTTTTCCACTTAATTGTATCTCACAAAATGGATATAAAAGCCTGTTAATCCAACCCAATGCCATTATGTAATGCCGGTTTGGAGGTTTGAAGTGCCCGCAGCAATGCGCAAGGTGCGCTAAAAGCCTGCCCCTGGACGAGATCCTCGCTGCGGTGACAGCGCGTCAGGCTGGGTCCCTTCTTGGACGGAAGCAGGGACTGCGGAGTCCCTGGCGCAGTAGGTGGCGCTCTTCTTTCTCAGAGCCTGCTGCTGCAGCCGATGCTGCGGGACCCTTTGCCACTAGAGGTGCCATTTTTCAAATGACGAACTGACCCTTCCTAGCTAGACCTCACAGCACACAGCCGCAAAGAAGAATACCTGAAGCGAGATGTCACTTCCTCGTCATTCTTTGTTTTTAAAACGGCATAAAGTGTTCCCAGTGAAAGTTTCCAAACAGTTTGATATATTTTTTTTAATTGATTTTGCAAAGGTCACTATTGAAACTAATGGGGAAAACAATGTTGATCTCAGTGTTGTAGATTGAATTACAACCGTTTCTTTCTCCATGTAGGCTGATCAGCTGACCGAAGAACAGATTGCTGGTAAGTTGATGACTTCATGGAGCCTCCAGTAGGCCAGAACTGAGCTGACTCTGCCCGCTCTCCCCTATAATCTGAACAGTTGTCTAAGAATCCATATAAAGGAAAATAAGCAGAAATATTTAGGTCACATGTTACTCCTTGCCAGTATTTTGGAGATAACGTTAAAAGGAAGTGGGACTAAGAAGACCCATTTGTTACACTCTGGAGCAGCCAACTGTGTTTCACGATGTGTGAGGTTTTGCATATAATGAGATGGCACTGAGTTTGCTACTCAAAAATTTAGTTAAGAATTTTTATGCCACAGGCCTTTTAGTAATCCATCATGAACGCTTGTGCCTGCAATTCTAAAATCAGTGGGAATGGGTGAAAATGAGTGTTAGGACCATTATAATTGGTAAAGGCGTTGTGTTAGTTTAGATTTTAGCTTTCATTATTCCCTGGAGGACTTTTTTGCGATGGTTTCTCCTTAGGAAACCAGGAATGCCTTTGGAAAATTCTGAATGCCATGTAGAGAGGACACACTGGTGTTACGTGGGAATATACATTTCTAGTAACCTCTTCATGTTGCTATGAGACAAGGCATTCTTATGGCTGTAGAAATTTAACAGGAAGGGGCCTTAACACACGGACCAGTCTTCATTTTGTCAGATGGGATTTAGGTCTAATTGAAACGTGTTCAAGCTTAGTCTTCTTTTAAAAAGTGAGAATACTATAGTTTTATGGAGCTGGTTACCAGGAACAGTGTTTGCTTTATGGACTGCTGTGTAAAAGCCAGTCCAGTAGGACTAGCGTGGTTCTCGTTTCAGTAGATAACGACCAGGCAGTTTCTGATAGCTTGTACACCTTGGGCAGCTTGCTTTGGCGACCCCAAGGGAAGTGTGGATTGTGGCTGGGCTGGGGAAAGACATTCATTCTAAAAGGTAAACTTTTGTTTTTAGAATTCAAGGAAGCTTTCTCCCTATTCGACAAAGATGGTGATGGCACCATCACAACAAAGGAACTTGGAACTGTCATGAGGTCACTGGGTCAGAACCCAACAGAAGCCGAATTGCAGGATATGATCAATGAAGTGGATGCTGATGGTAAGGGCTTTAGAACTATGAATGAGTGCCAGTGTTGTGTAATTCAAGTTCAGACATGTTGCGAGATTGTCTTTCTGGTCCCCAGATCAAAGCAAATATGCAAAGATCCTTTCTGTGGTTGCCTTGCGGCCACTGACAATTGCAATAGAAGATTATGGGCCTGCCTTATGCCCTGTTCACTGTAACATTTCCTGGATCAGATCACTGTATTGTTCTTTTCTACCTGCCGTAACCTACAGCTCAATCTTTTGTCAATTGACCCATGAGTCGGCACTGAGTTCCATGGGGAAGTAAAAAATAAAATAGCCACGGACCGTTTTGAAAAGCTTACTGTCTAAGAGGAAAAGAAAAAACTCAAGTGAAGTGAGTAAAGAGCACTCTTAGATGGTACATAGAATTGGATACATTGTGAGCTGTGCCTGTGTTTATTGAAGGACATTTTGAAGATCACGTGAGGCTTGGAGGTGTGAGGTACGTGATGACTGTAGATATACAGAATGTAACAGGGAATAGACGTATAGAACCTAACAGATGGAGAAGATGTCTAAGGCACGGAGCAAGAAAGAATAAGCGGTAAGCCCTGTAGCAGTTGGTGACCAGTCATCTTTTCCTCTGGACTCTCGAACAGTGGACAGGAGACCTGTTGTTGCCCACTTCCATCAGTAAACAGTTTTTGAGCACCCCTCCCCTCCCAAAAAAACTTGTGTTTTTGGAAACCCTGTATATGCACTAGTAAACGTACTACATAACATTCTAGAATATAATAGATTTTTAAAAGGTGAGCAAAGAAGAACAATTTGGATCTAGACTACTTTGTAGATTGACTTGTCTAGTCATTAAAAACTGTGGTATCAAAAGGTGACAAGTTGAGTTATAACTTGTCACATACATTTAGAAGCAGGGGTTTTGGTTAAGCTCTTTCACAATGGCTTCAGTCCATTCAAACTATTTCTAAAGGCTTTTCATACTTAATATTGTTTTGGAAAAAGAGGTTGTCCATAGTTCTCAATAGTTTGCTAAGATGATCGGCCATCTGGGAAATGGGGCGACTTCATCCTCTTTCATGCAAACCCTGGGAGCAACGGCCTGGGAACTGGCAAAACGGATTAGGGCCTCAATTTGTGTGGAACTAGCAGGGAGAGGTTGTCCCTGGCTGCAGAGCCTGGTGTTTGCAATGAGTGAATGATGCCTGAGGACCCCTCTGCGTGGCTGTGAGCTAGCACTCCAATAATTAATTTTGATTTGCATGAATTTCAATTATGCTTTCAAATTTTGGAGGCCAAAAGGACTTGAAGGGATCTTTGAATTACTGTTTTGATTTAAAGGTACTGGTGAAAACGAGTAACTTAGCCTAAGCCTTTTTTTCTTCTAATTTAACTTTATGTGCATTTAATTTAAGTTAGATTATGAATCGGTGGCTTGTCTTTGGGGTGTTCCTCTAACCCTTAGTTTTAGAGGAGTTGTTTGGAAGACTGGCTATAGAACAGATTCTTCTGACAGTTTCATAAATGTTAATGGTCTGAGCTGAGCTGAGAAAACTCTTTTGAGCTTTGCCCTTAATGGGAAAGAAAGATACTGAGTTGGGGAGAAAACGATTAGATAACTTATCATAACGTGGCTGAGAAAATGGTCCCTGGAGAAGACCTAAGACTTTGTGGTCAGTTTTTCCCATTGTGATCTTTTTCATCCCTAAAAATACTCTGTACTCGTGGGGGCCCAAATCTAGGCCTCGGCAGAATTAAATCGGAGTGATGGCCCTAACTTGGAGTGGGAGCGTGGGGGTGGGTGAGGTATCTCTAATGCTTCCCTTGGGAGTGGAAAGATGGCAGCGTGTAGCTCCCTGCGCTTTTTTTTGTCCTGAACCATACATCCCCCTTCAGTGGACAGGAGTCGGTGTGTGCAGTTCCTTTGCATCATACGTGCTATCCAGGGCACTGATTATTAGTTTGAATTCTGTGAACCATGTGAAATTGCCCTGTGAAGTATTTCAGTAGTTGAGACCTACAAATGGTTCTGCCTAATAAAATAATTTACCAGTGTGTCCTAGAAGTGCTTACCACCGTTTATAAAGTGGTTCTAAGATCTGTCACTGCAGAGGGGCATTCCCGGAGCACTTCCTTTACACAACGCTTTTTGTTTTTTAATTTGAGGTAATGGCACCATTGACTTCCCAGAATTTTTGACTATGATGGCTAGAAAAATGAAAGATACAGACAGTGAAGAAGAAATCCGCGAGGCATTCCGAGTCTTTGACAAGGTAATCCTGCCTCTGCATTGCAGAGGGGACTTCAGTATGGCTACTGTTTCTAAAACCTTCAACAGTCTGCTCTGATTAGAGCACTTACCGAACTGCCTGAGCCTCTGAAATCTCACTTTCCAATACCCTGACTTATCACAGTAACCTTACTGAGTGAGGGTAAGCATAACAAATAACGGAAAATTTGAACCAGGTTTCTTGATGGTGACTTTCAGTTTGTTAGCTTTTGGAAAGCCTGTGTGTTTTCCGAGTTTGCTGACTGCACGTATTTCTTGGGTAGAGGAGGGAACTGGAGGTTGGAATTGTCGAGAGCAGAGGTGGCAGTAACTTGAGTGGGCAGAACGAAGCCCGAGACCCACTTGCCCACACTGAACCCCTCCCAGCCTCTGTCAGTAACAATTGATGATCGTTCACAGGACGGCAATGGGTACATCAGTGCGGCGGAACTACGTCACGTCATGACAAACTTAGGAGAAAAACTAACAGATGAAGAAGTAGACGAAATGATCAGAGAAGCAGATATTGATGGAGATGGACAAGTCAACTATGAAGGTAAAACATGGGTTCTTCAGCTCAGTTTGTAAGTCTTCCCTTTAGGACCTATAAACAAGTGAACCACTTCACTTGACGTTCCCTGATTTTTTTTTAAATGCATAGCACAGAGATGGCATGTTCATTAAAGCTGCTCTTGAAGATAACTGAATTCTGATTATTTGTCTTTTCAGAATTCGTACAGATGATGACTGCAAAATGAAGACCTACTTTCAACTCCTTTTCCCCCCTCTAGAAGAATCAAATTGAATCTTTTACTTACCTCTTGCAAAAAAAAAAAAAATCATTTACTCATTCTGTTTCTATATAGCAAAACTGAATGTCAAAAGTACCTTCTGTCCACACACACAAAAAATCTGCATGTATTGGTTGGTGGTCCCTGTCCCCTAAAGATCAAGCTACACATCCGTTTTACAGTATAAATATTTGTACTACCTTAACGATAGGGAAGACTTAGTGGGCTCCTCGCAGTTCCATTTGCTAACGATTAACACACTGTTTGGGCTGGCCAGTTTTTCATGCATGCAGCTTGACGATTGAGCAGAGTCAGGCATTTGTATTAAAAAACGAAAAATGAAAAAACAACTTCAAAACCTATTCACGTGGGTTCTAGTTCAGTTTGTTAGTGTAATTGGTCATAACTGGCTTACTGAAAGCAAACCTTTTAGAATTGGCAGACCTCAGGATGTGTGTAGAAACACGGGTGAAGGATAAACTGTCTAGACGCAGCCCCACTAGCAGGACGGTCCCCTTGTCCTTCCACGTGCCCCGACCCGTGGTGACGGTGACACACCCTGGTGGCATGGCCGCGTGTGTTGGCTTAGCGCTGTCTGCATTGTACTAGACTGAAATGGGTGTCAGGCTGTCACCGTTCAGAAATTTTTAAAGAACCTTTTACCAAGGGAGCATCTTTGGACTCTCTGTTTTTAAAACCTTCTGAACCATGACTTGGAGCCAGCAGAGGTAGGCTGTGGCTGTGGACATCAGCACAACCATCAACATTGCTGTTCAAGAAATTACAATTTACGTCCATTCCAAGTTGTAAATGCTAGTCTTTTTATTTTATTTTTTTCCAATAAAAAGACCATTAACTTAAAGTGGTGTTAAATGCTTTGTAAAGCTGAGATCTAAATGGGGACAAGGCAGTTGGAGGGGAGGCCAGTGCACCTCTAAATGCCCCCAGCCCAGCATTGGGTTTCCCTCCCTTTCTCCCTCCCTCCCGACTTCCAAGCACCAACCTCAGCCTGAGACCGCGCCTGAAACCAGGCAGATACCGACGGCTTCATCATGTTTGTGGACATACAGGTCTGTTGTATTTTCACTGGGGGGGGGGGGGGGGAAGGGAGGGAGACAGCGAATCGTCGTAACTTCATGATTATTCAGGCAGTAGAGCTCTTAATGAAAAAACACTTTCTCTCAAGCATGTATTTCGGGGTTCTCAATTGTGCTGCTGATGACCTGTTTTATGTAACTACTTGAGACCATCTGTGCAGGAGACATGATTTAGTGTGTCTGTAATTCAACCTTCGCTGTGTGTGGTAGAAGCAGCAGTCACTTGCCTAAGCCAGTCTCTTCATGCCTAAAAGACACTACCAGTCACCTTTTGATTCACGAGTTTTAATTTATGATGATACTTAACCTCCTTTTCCTTTTTTTTTTTTTTTGTTTTTTAAGTTGACTTTGCTATTTTCCCCCACGAGTAGAACTAATGGTAGGCCTCAGCTTGAAAGTCAAACTGTAGCCCAGAGGGAGTTTGGTGTCTAATTATAAACCTGTAACCCAAACTAAGAGATGCTGGTACTGGCCTCTGCAGTGGGATTGGTCCACTGAAAAAGCCCCCTTGAAGGCATATCGCATTGAGTGCAGAGCTTTTTTGGAAATGAAGGCTGGATGTGTATATTTTTCAGGGTGTTAACTGCTTGTATCTTATTAGCAAGGAGATTTGGGTTTTGAGTGTGTGTGTGGGAGGTTTTCATTTGCCAGGGAACAGTGGCAGGCTGCTAGCGAGGCAGTGAGAAGCTCTTGGCAGCCAAGTGGGTGCATTCAGGGCTGCTGTGTAGAGACCCGTGGCTTCTTCCTCTCCTACTCCCTGTCCTTCTGGCATTTTGCAGCTTGTTCCATTTCCTGCCAGAGGGGTGGGTCAGAGCAGTGGAGAGGAGCCCACCCATCTATCTGCCTCTGCCACTGGTGCTTAGACGCAGTGGTTGTTAGAAGAGAGGCCGACGCCATGAGTTAGGGTTGGCTTTCATAATTCCCTGAATCTGGAAGGGACACCTAAGCATACCTTGGGGGTTCTGGTGAGATAGGCTCCTGGTTTGAATAAGTTACTGACCTGGGTGTTCTTTGCCTGGAGGTCCATCCCTTAGCCTGACTGTTGACCCAGCCTTGGGCCTATGGTAGATGACCTCTTCGTAGTTCAAAGAGGGTTGGGGGTGACTTGTTTTGGACAACTTGGCCTTCTAGCTTACCCTTTCAAGCAAGTCTTTTTCAAGAAGCTGGGTGGACTCCCATTTTACGGGGCCCCAGTCTTGCCTAAAAGACTTAATTAGCCTTTACAACCAGATTCTTACATGGCCAGGATCCTGTATGGGACCCAGCTAAACTTTTCCCCAGGGAATGCTGAGTTCCAGCTGGACGCAGAGGTACAGCCGAGTCCACTGTTGTCTTTGTCCCTTGGCATTTGAGAGGACGACCGGCCCAGGGGTTGGGTGTTCGCAGTCTGCGCGTGAGTTCGTGAGGCGGTAGCTGGATGTTGCAGCACCCTTAAGTGGTTAGCACCTTCCTGTAAACTCTTACCCCGACTTCTAACTGCTCTATAAATATACATATATATTTATATATATATATATATATATATAAAGTGACTAGTTTAACTGGCATCCTGCTTGAGCCTGAGACTTGCCATAAAAAAAAACTGCTGAGTACTTGGCAAACACTTTCATAGTTTTGTTCTCCATCTGTTTGGGGTAGGTGTTGAGCAAGGTGAATGCATCTTGATATTTCAAATGGGCTTTTAATGCACTGTTGCCAAGGAAGGCTTTTTCTGATTTTTTGACAAATGAATTTTTGCACACTTAAATTGGTGTCTTTCAGCAACTTAAAACACATTGAAAATTAGCTACTGTACATATTTTTATATTCTCTTTATAAATGCATGTCTGACTGTACTTATAACCATATTGTAATGAGTGGCTGTCCAGTCTGCCTAGCGCTGCTGTGGCCCGTCAGAATAGCAGCATATTATTTGCCCCTCAGCATACTGGGAACTTCTTAAACAAAGAATGTAAATTTGGTCAATCTGCTCTTTGTTCATTCAATTACTTTAAACATTTGAATTAATTACTGTATATCCTAAATAATCCTATTGTTGTAGATCCTAAATTTATACTTTCGGCAGTGACTAGATTCCACGAATGTGTCTTAATCTCTCTCTTCAGCTGGCAGTTACTATTTTCTTTTCTTTTTTTTATCCCTCGAAGTTGTCCTGTAGGAGACAGAAATTCTTTGCTGTCTGTATCCCTTGGAGTAAGAAAGTAGTGGCATGGGTGGAGTGTGTGTTCTTTCTCCAGATCTATGATGTTCATTAAACAACGTCTGTAGCAAAGATGGTGGTAGTTCTTTTGTAACCGAAGTTACCCTTCACCGTGGCTATTTGCAAAGGAGATGTACTTGAACGTGTCTGTAAATCTTGAGATAAACTGTTTGGAGATTTAACCACCTCTCTGATGGGGGACCAACTCTATGGAAATTGTAAATAAGTTTTATTTATAAACCTGGCACTGTATTCAATAAACATTTCTTGCAGCCTTTCATCTCTAACTGCGAACTGTGTAGGTTTTTAGATTGCGTAGCTTTCAATCCCTTTTGCTCAGTGAACAAGATCTACCTGCCCTCAGATGTAATTCCATCTAGGCCCTCGTTTGGTAGGTAGTGTGAGGGGCCAGAAACACCATGGACACATCCCATTGCAGCCTTACTCGAGTTTTAAAGTAGTTCGGGTGTTAGTAACTGACACTGTAGCAGTCTCTTGCCAGGCTTGCTTACTGCAGAAAATGTACACCATAAAAAGACTGATTTCTCTTTAACCTCAATGTTAATCCAAGTCTCTTTAGGAATTGTGGAAAGAAGCACACTATTAAAAAAAAAATTTTAATTCCATAAGCACATACCTCTGCAACGTCAAGAGCAGGGCAGCTGAGGAAAATGGAGTGGGTTGCAACTTCCATTCAGAACCTTGGAGTTGAAACTGGCCCCTACATCAGTCCTAGCTCAGACCCTGGTTCCCAGACAAGCTGCTCCAGCAGGAAAGACTGCCTCCTCGTTGCCGCCTGTTTCCAGAAGGATCTTTCCCCACTGCACAGAAGCAGTGAGAGGGCTCAAGAGATCAGGATAAGCCCCTACTTTGGCCATATCTCCAGAGGGCATTTAAGTAGCCCCTCTGGTATACAGAAACTAGGACTACCAGTACGGAGCACCACCTTGGGGACAGAGCCCTCTGTTCTAAGACTTCAGACCTCGCTCCTACTTTTGGTTCTCCCCCCTCTGTAGGTGTGGGCAGGTTCCTTACCTTCTCCGAGCCTCAGTTTCCTCAGTAAAATAAGATGATTGGACTGGGTACCTTCTACCTGTGGCTTTCTAGGATTCTCACCAACTCAAGCTTGGCATCACTTGGTGTTTAAATAGAAACTGCAGCCTGAAGGAGGGGGGGAGGCAAAATAGTGTAGGAGTGCTGTATGCTTTGAGATGACATGGGATTTTTAAAGTCTCAGCAGCTCCACATTGCGGGTGGTGTGGTGTGGAGGGTAAGCTTGCTATTAAGGCTGTGATGTAATACTGGAACGTGGGTCAGAGAAACTGATCATGAAGTGACTTCTATCCTCCTCCCAGGACGGAAATAGGAAGCTACCACTCAGCCTGCAAGAGATTCAGTCCAAGTGCCAGCGTCATCTGGTTTTTCAGCAGCTTTGGCTCAGGAAAAAAACACACATTTCCGATTTGAGCTGAACTTGCCCGGGCACTGGGGGCTGGAGCACCCAGTGACTCAGGACGCCTTAGAAGGAAATAAAACTTAGTTTTTTTATAGCTTGGTGCATCTCTCCCACTGCCCTCAACCCTCTGCCAGAGCGTGGGCGGAGTTAGCTCATGCTGCAGCATCGCACAGGGAAGCTGACGAGGCTGTGGAGCTGGCTGGCTTTCCCATCTCATGGCTGACAATCCCTGAACTTGGGTTAAAAAAGGGGCAATTTTCCTCAAGAATTATGTCCCTCCTGTGTGTCAGCAATCGTTAGCGTGTGTATTTCCACATTTAGATAGTATTTCAAACATTTTAAAGTTTCCACTTTTATAAAGATGAAAGGGAAAATCACAGGCTCTTCCTCTAGTTAATTTCTTAAATATTTTGTTACAACATAATCTTTTTATCCTGGCTGCTTATAAACAGGTACAGTTTGCTTTAAACTATTTTTCCTTTTTTGAGTCTTTGTATACCCTTTGAACTGATCTTTTTTAGTTAATTGTTCCCTCCCACACAGGCTGGTACCAGAGTCAAGATTTGAAATAATGGGTTATTAAAATAAGTGAAAAAGTAATGGTAAAATGATCTTAGTTAAAAGGACTGGGTTATACATTGCAGGTCAAACACCCAGTGCAAGTATTCATATCTGGTAATTCTTAAACTTTTGGGACTACTTCCCATGACAAGAAGTTCGTTACCTCGTCAGGCAGCCCAGTCATATTTTTACAAAAGTGTTTTTTCTGATTCTAAAAGAAATGCTGTTGTATAAAATGACCCCACTACCCTAAAAATATAGTTAACACTGTATTTCCTTCCAGAATTTTTTCTCACCATATGGATACAGAGATATAGTTGACAAAATTGGGATCTGTAGGTTGGTTTTTAAAAATTAAGCATAATATTCCTTATTATACACAATTAAATATTGTATATGTACATATGTATTATAATATTTCTTATACTTTTTTCTTGATACAATTCATGTACCATAAAATTAACCCTTTAAAAGTATACAATTAAGTGGTTTTTAATAAATTCACAAGGTTTTGCAACCATTAACACTAATTTTGGAACATTTTCATCAACCCAAAAAGAAGCCCTGTACCCGTTAGTAGTCACCCCCTATTCTCCCCTTCCTTGGCCTCCGGCAACCACTAATCTACTTTCTGTGTCTATGGATTTGCCTGTTCTGGACATAAAAAGTGGAATCATGTATTCATAGTTTTTTAACCTTTTTTTCACTTTTTATATCCGACATTTCTCCACATACTTAAATTCTTGGATATCATTTTTAGGAGTTGGCTATATCAATATGCATAATTTAGTTAATCCCCTAATAAAGGCCATGTAGCGCATTCCGTTTTGAGCAATTCTAAGTGAGAACGTTTTAATAGGTTGAAACCTGCTTCCTTTTAGCTTCCACCCATTGATTCTCCTCTGACTGTGACCCTCCTGCCTCCCTCTTAAAGGGAACCTTATGATGACACTGGGCCCACCTGGATAATCCGGGGTACTCCTTTCACCCCAAGATCTTTAACTTAATCACACTTGCAAAGTCTGTGCCATGGAACGGGACATATTCACAGGCCCCAGGAATTAGGGAGTGGAAATCTTTGGGGATCATGATTCTGTCTGCCACAGCCTGTGATTGGCTTAGCTTGGATCAGGTGACCACCTCTGGCCCAATCAACCACCACTAGGAAGTCGGGCTACTCTAAGGTCGGGGCAGCTCCCACAGGAACCACAAGGGTGGGGGAGGTCTCAGAAAGGGAACATTGCGCAGAAGGGATAAAAGTTTCCCACTTCAGCGGTGTTGCCATCCACTCGTCACCCAAGCTAGAAACGTGGGAGTCATTTATAATTCCTTCCTTCCTTCCCCTTCATGCAATATTGATTATATTATTTTAACCAACACTTAACATAGCACTTAGTCTGGGCCAAACATTGGTCTAAACCCTTGACACGTAGTCACTTGTAAAAGCTTTGCAACAGCCCCATGAAATAGTTACCAGTTCCATTTTCCAGGAGCGAACCTGTGGCAGAGAAGCTCCAACACTTGCCCGAGGTCCCACAGCCAGGAAGCTGAGAGCTAGGATTTGAATCCAGGAAAACTGGCTGCAGAGATTATGCTCTTAACCACCCTGCAATGCCACCTCAATCCTTGTCCTCATTTTGCCCATTGAGCATTTACTAAACGCCATGTTTCTTCCCTACCATCTTATTTAATCCTTGAGATAACTGTGATTAAAGGTGATCCTGACAGTTTACTTTTTAAACACCCCCCTGGGCCTGACCTGTTTCCTTGATCCTGTTACCGTCTACCTCTATCTCTCTTGGTTGATGGCTACTGCCGTCTAATTGGTCTACCTGCCTCTGGCTTATGCCCCTTAAATCTATCCATCACACACTTGCCACACTAATCTGCATAAAATGCAGATCTCACTGTGCCACTCCTGCTTACACCCTGAAGGTGAGTGTTCCTTTCCTCTTGTCCAGGGGAAAGTCCAGCCTCGTTAACACACTCTTCAAGGGCTTCCATGAGCTGCTATGCTTACCTCTCCAGTTGCCTTCCCTGCCACGTTATGTTCTGGCAAAACCAACTTGCTCATGGGTCCCCTCACATGCAACCCACCCCATTCAATGGTGAGTTGCTTGAGTGAAAAGACTTTCTTACTCATGTCTGAATCCACAGGGCCTGGCATGGAGGTATGACTGTACTCCAAAAATGTGTCCGGTGTTAACTCCCATGTGGTGCGAGGTCTCTAGTAGATTGCCACTGGGCTCTGTTCTGGTCTACGTTCCTATGCTTGGCTTTGATGAAAACGTATCAACATTCTGCATCATGTAATTAGGATATGGAAAATTCAGGCTGGCAAGATGGGCTCCCAGGAATTTAACAGGCATTTATGTAACATCCTATAAAAAAAATTATATATATCACACTGTAACTGCCTACTTCCCCCCCCCCTTTTTTTGAAAAAAGATTTGATTGAGGAATTGGGGGAGAGGAACAGCGGTGGGGGATCGAAGATGGGGAACAGACAAGTTGCTGTCCTTTTGTTCTGTCTAGTTGTAGAGGATGTTGCTTCACTGGCCCATGTTGGTATTATCACTGCGCTCTTCCCGGGTGAGGCAGTCACTCACGATTCACGGCAGCCCAGCTCCAGGTAGAGCTGTTGTTCACCATCTTAGCTGTAGAGGGCGCAGCGTCACTGGCCCTCATGTGGGATCCGAACCGGCGCCCTGCTGCTCAGGGCTGGCGTCCCAAGCCAACTCCTAACCAATGTGCCACTCAGCCGGCCCCCTACTTCTCCCTTGTTTTTTTCTTTTTTAAAGGCAGTAAAATTCTCATAACCTAAGATCAACCATTTTAAAGTATACAATTCAGTGGCATTTAGTACATTCACTATATTGTATAACTACCACCTCTACCTAGTTCCAAAACGTTTTCATGATCCAAAAGAAAAATTTGTATCCTGAATGTATTAAGCAGCCACTTCCCGGTCCCCTCCACCCAGCCCCTGGCAACCACCAATATGTGTTCTGTCTCTATGGATTTATTGATTCTGGGTATTTCATATAAATGGAATCATACAATATGTGACCTATTATCATGTCTGGTCTCTTTCATTTAGTGTAAAGTTTTCAAGGTTCATTTACACCAGTGGTAGTCAACCTGTGGGTCGCGACCCCTTTGGGGGTCGAACGACCCTTTCACAGGGGTTGCCTAAGACCATCAGAAAACAAAAAGATATTTACATGACGATTCATAACAGTAGCAAAATTACAGTTATAGAGTAGCAAA